AAATGCATGAATTTTTAAGAGTGGGATAAGCTCACACACCTTTTGCTTTCATGGCCAGAATTTTTCCCATTATTTAAATTATTCAATCTCTGGCTTCTCACTTGTTCTTTTATCTTCAAGATGCATATATTTAATATCTTAGCTCAGGTTGGATTCTGTGGGCTTTAAAAGATTGAAGCATGTTTTAAGAGAATGGTGGGGGACAATGACTGGAAGGAGAGGGATTTCAAATAAACAAAACTGTGAGGGAAGTAGGGATGATTGAGACGATAAAAAAAATTAAAGAAATTTTTTAAATCTCTTTCCCTGCTGCTCATGTTCACCCTTTTCATTATGAAATTTTGCCACTTCTTTCTGGCTTAGTCTTCCTGAGGTGGAATCTACCTGTTCTGGTTGATATTCAGTCCTGTGTCGCACTACGACATGAAATAACTCACACATTCTCTCAAGATGTAAAAGAAGGAAAAGAGGAAGTTTTATTTCTGACCTCGCAATATATAGAATTCCAAAAGTGACAGTGGATTGGAGGGAGAAATTGTCACCTCTCCAACCACACTGATCAAACTAACAGTCCATCCATTCTCTCCTCTCACAAAGAGGAATGCAAAACAATCATTATTTACATGAACAGTGCGGGAGAACTCCAGTAGAAATATGTAAACATCAGAAGGCATAGAAAACTTTTAAAATAACTTTAAAACTTTTAAAAGAACAGGGCGACAATCCTGTTCCTTTAGGTCTCTTGGGTAGTCATTGATGTTTTTCCAGCAGCAGAAGCAATGTCTCACCAGGCTTTAGTTCTCTCCATTCAGCTGTGGCTGCAGTTGGGCCTCACATAGGTGTGAACCCATAGTTTGTCTGACTCTTAAGATACTTGCATGGACTCTTTCTTAGCCTTTGCTAATAAACTGGCTTATACAACATCACTGTTTTTCCCAAATCCCACAGCTGCCTGCAGTTCCAAGGGCTGTTTTGAATGGCAGGTTGCAGCATCCCCTTGCTGCATAGAATGCAGGGCATGAAGCTTCTTCTGTGTGTTAACTGGTGAGCATCATCTTGTGCAAATAGTGTGATCATTTCTGTGTCATGTTCAGCTTGCTCCTTGCTGTGTTAGTGGCAGAGTTTATGAGTGGAAATAGAATCTAGAGCCAGATCTGTTTCTCTTAGTTGGCTTCAACAGTTGTTTGTTGTGGATTTCTTTTTGTGAAATGACAAAGATTTTGATTGACATTATTACACTAGGAAGACTAGGATGGTGTTTAAAAAGAAATTCACTGTTTACAGTGAATATGCAAAGGTGAAATGTAAAGCATTTTGACTGTTTTTCATGATCTTTATACTCTCCCGTCCTTGAAGAAAAGTAAGTAAAAACAATGGACTTCCTTTGGAAGTTGTAAAGTGCTCAAATTCTGTAGTGCTAAAGACATATAACTACGCAGAAAACATAAAAATATATACCTACAAACAAGTCAAGAACATTTTATAAAGTAATATTAATGATACTTTTTAATATTAATGAACTGCTTAAGATAATTTTTTTGTCATATAAACTTATATATTACTACCATTATTCTGATCTTAATTGATTCTCACAGTAGAATTACAGTTGCTAATTCTGTATTCATAGGAAGTGAATTTCTTCATTAACAATTATTTTATGGCTCATTTTAGCTGTGAAAGGAGAGTCTCACTACATTTTCTTTATCTTCCTATTTATATCTTTTTCAATACCACCAATATGGAAATTCAGCATGTCAAACTTCTGGAGACCTCTCATTTTTGTCTCCTTCTTAGCCCTCAGTCTGTTAGCCAACCAAATGGGATTCAGAGGTCATATTTTTAATCTGCTGTTGCAAAGCTAGACTGAAAGGTACTGCTAAGATACACATGTCTAAGCAGAGAAGTCTAGAATGTATTGAAATGATGTCAGAATTTTTGTTAGCACTGATTTCTGCATTTTCCACAGGAGAAGTTCGTGATATAAGAAACAACTGAGAGGCAGTCCATGAAAAACATTTCTTTATACTGAAGTGTCTTATGGTAAAAATGAGGTCCTTCTCAAGTAAACAGGGAGATGTACAGTATCTAGAACACCTAAAAGCAAGCACACTGACCTGCTCACTGAGAACTTAGTGCATGCTTGACCCTCTGTTGAGGGTAATTTTTTTCACCACTATGTGGTGGTGGTGATAGAACTATAATTTTCTGCAGCTAATATAAACAAGTTTGCTTTAAGGGGATTATGTCTGCTAGACATAACCCAGAGGACAAGCATTCATCTTCTTTTCAGGATGGCAGGTGAAAGCATACTTTCTCTTGCTTGGTCTAAGTGGATTTGTTGCCCTTGCCATGTGTGCAGGACTAAATGAATACAGTGTTCTCTGAATAATAATAATGCTTAAGCCAATAAAATTTGGCTATTTTTAAATTATTCTTTTTCCCTGCCTAAATCTGTGTTTTTCATCCCCTGAAATCAAGAGCAAAAATCTGAAACATTTAGCTGATTGTGATTTTTAAAAATGCTATCTAGAAAATAGGTTCACTGACTCATATGTGCAATATATACTGCTGGTAAACAGAACTAGATAATCCACATTTCAGCTCATTTTTTCCAGCAAGGAGATTTTTGAAGACTTAGTGAGTTGAAAAGAGCAGAGCAGGCAAAGCAAGAGATTGTATTATCCATCCCTTTCACACTCAGCACGTGATGTTTTTCTGAGAAGCAAGAAATTTGTTTTCTGAAGACATTGTCAAGTTCACTGAGATTTGCTGACTCCTGGTAGCAATGTAAGCTTGAGACAGCGGTGACAGGCTTTATTTCAGGACACTGCATATCGTACAAAATAAGCTTCCTTCAACTGGAATGATGTCTGAGTTACAGCATCACCATGAAAATTAACAGACACATAGATCAGCCAGGCAGTAAGTGTGCAGGATTTCTGATCATGCACAGACTGCTCCTCTCAGCTTTGCTGGTGATACTTTCCTGAGGGGTTATCCTGCAGCTGAGCACCCCTTGTTCCCTCTCCAACCTATCCTTCCAGGAGCTGCAGAGAGAGCAGAATGCTGCAGCAATATTCAGGCACTAATTATTTTTGCCAGCAGGAGCTCATTTTGGCCTTTGATTTTGAGCTGACAGTTAATAGATAGGGCAGTTTCAGAAGTGGGTGTGTTTTACAGCACTTGGCAAATGACTGCCTAAATCACAGGTACAGCTAGCAATTGCAGCAATATAAAACATCTCTCTGTTTACTCTCTTTATTGAAGATATGTATTCACAAAGAAGATATATTTTTTCAATACAGTGAACGGTATATTGGCATTGATAAGGTGAACTTTATGGAGAGTAATTGGGTAAGTGTTATTATCATTGCACTACAGGCAGAAACTGAGCTTGCATTTGGCTGCACATGACGAATGCCTACAGGGAGGGGCAGCCTGAGGCAGCTCTGTGTAGGGTAGAGCCTACAGGATGGACCAGGGCATCTTGAGTGTCTAGGGATCCAGGGCTGTGTATCTACTGCAGGAGAGACTAGGGACAGGGAATGAACTCTTGGGGCTGCTAATGCTTGTTTTGCAGTCTGGCACTGTTTGTGTTGTCAGGACCAGTTTTGTTTTCCCCTCTCCCCAAGATGATATCCTAAGATGTTTCTCACCTTCAAGGCTTCTGTTAAACCACAGATAATGCAACCTGTAGCCTGCATTTTGTACTGATAAAGTGTTGTCTTGATGAGTTGTGACACTGCCATAGCATTATTTAAAATGCTCTGAACTGAGAATAATGCACAATTAAATAGCATCTATGAAATCAGGGGACCAAAGGGGAACTCTTGGCCAAATATTAAGAGTGATGAGGCAATGCCATCCAGCTTGAACTTTATTTAGCATTGTGGGTAAGGTAAGGTAATTGTGGGTAAGGTAAACCTTAGCTTGTATCTGAGCTGATGGAAGGTACTGTCTGCTACTAAGTGTGGTACCTGTGGTTATATTCTACAAGTCATCTCATGATCCTGTGTGGGAGCAAGAACTGAAATTAAAGACCTCTGTATTTCTAATTCTTGTGCTCTTCCTCTGCAGAAAATGCTGCACTGAAATACATTAAAAGAGAAAAAATCACCTAAAGAATGTAAAGTGATGGTTCCTAATGACATACTTGTTTTGTCGTCTCATCAGTTCAATGGAGAATTGTCAGCAGAGCAGGAGTAACTCTTCTCTCTGCAGCCCCTGGAAGCTCTGACTTTATTTGCAGTAGAAGTTGGACTGAATTCTGAAGTAATAAGAACTTTAAGTCAAATACATTACTAAAATTATGTGCTACGGATGCATGAGGGATTAAAAGAGTTTAAAAATAATGATTTACTCAGGTCAGCCTTGAGGATCAAAGCTTTGGCTTCAATGCTGTCTCAAGTTGGACTTTAGTATCTCATGGGATAGTTTCATGGCTCAGTGCAACACAGATAATTTGGCATTCTAAGCTGTGAACACCATGGATTAATAAAGCATTTATAGTATCTTTTAAATTATTATTGCAAGCCAAGTCTCATGCTCTTTCTGAGTGCTGCTGTGTTTGTTTCTGAAATGTGCAATTTTTGTTTGGTTGGTTTTGTTGTTTCTTTTTTTAGGAAAATATCCTTGAAATTGAGAGTAGGTGATTAAAACCAGCAGGAAATGTATAAGAGAATTCTTAGTGATCTAATAAGGGATTTAGCAACTCCAGCAGGGGAGAAGTATTTTATAAATTTGATATGAGGGTAAATAGTATTATCTCTGTTTTGCAAATGCAAGAACTTATCCAAGATCATTATTCATAGTCCTTCAGCTTTTGTGTTTCTTTTCTTAGCTAACTACATCATGCCCCTGTCTCCAGCAGAAGGGCAGGAAGATGCATAGAAACTGAACTTCTTAGCTGGGATTAGCTCATAAGGCAACCTTAAGTTTTGGCAGCAAATCAAAGGTTTACAGCACATGAAGAAATGAAACATGAGGACAGTTCGTGGTGCTGCTATCAACTCTCACTCTATCGAAGTCCAACAAGCAGAGGTCAGAGTAATTATCTCCTAGTCACTTTTGGGATCTTTGTAGCAAATTATGCACTCGGATTGTGCTATGGGAGAGCATTGTAATGCTTGGGTAGTTTTGGCACAAGGCAGTTGCTCTGCAAGGCTCCATGGCCCTCTCACAGAAAGCTCCTGGCCTGTCCTTAGTTTAGGAGGAAAGGATCTGATGGTCAGTGTGCCTAGTTCTTCTCATTGAGCCTTTTCCAAAGTGCAAAATATCATATCTGCTTCCTTGCCATGTGCTCTTTGAAGCAGAGTTCTAATCCTCTCAAATGGACCTCTTAGGAAATCGATACAGTGAACGCTGAGTACTGGTACTTTGCACAGGTTTGGTGCCTTACACTGAATGTTCTATTGACAGACCAATGGAGTAATTGAGGAGGGTTGTATGGATAAAATTAACTGCTAACTTCTAATGTAAATATGAACATTTAGACAAATTGAGTAAAAGGGCAAAGTGACTACCTAATTATTATGAAAAATGGTATTCATGTTTTGTACAATTATGGCTATATTAAGCCTATTTCAAGCGACTAATATGCAGATCTGATTCAGAAGAGATTAATTGGTGATATGAACACTTAAGCTATATAATTTACTCTGATTGAAGAGGCAATACTAAAATGTTGTATTAGAAGATGTTGGATGAACTTTTGCTCTGAATCCATTCACTGAAAATGCTAGGTAAATCTCCCCTTATTCAAAACTATTAAATACCCTAATTTCAGGATTTGACTTACATCTCTGTTTTCTTTTTTTTTTTTTTTTTAATTATTAGTCGAGAGTCGTTGCTGTGGCAATAGCCAGTTCTGTGATGAAATGAAGCACATTCCAGATTCAGCTGTTAAGGTCTGTATGGGGGCCCTTTGGCAGGATCCAGCAGGGTGCTTATTAGAAAACACCTGCCCCTTTCTGTTTAATATTCAGCACCATGTTTTTGTTCTTCACAAGCTCACTGGTTATCACAGGGCAAGTCTCTGGGCACTCCACTAGTTGCAGTGAATAATTCACTGCCACTCATTCTCACCCTAAAATAGAGAAACTGTGTTTTGTGTATCATGCTGGCACCAGAAATTCCCTGAATCCATATTTTCTGAAACAAAAGGGAAGCTGCAAGTCATCTCCTTACTTCCATTGACAATGACATAGTTAAATACATTTAATTCACTCAAGCTCATCTATTCTGATCCAGAATCAGAATTTCATCTGCACTGTGTGAATTCCCCTGAAAATTGAAATAAGAGGAGAGGTGGACAAATTACTAAACTGCACTATCTCAAATACACATCATAAAGCCTGATTATGATTAGAGTTCAATTGGAGGCCAGCTATATATGTAGTAGGGTATAGCTCAGTTTCATTTCCCATAAGCACAGAAGTTGCACCTGGATGCCAGTACACATGCTATGCAAATGTGCTTAAATGCTGTAAAGTCCTGAAGTATTAGCAGAGCAGGATCCTATAACAGCTGTGGCCAAAAAGCCTAACTATGTGCAGCTAACAGAGATATTAAATTGAATGCTTCTCTTACTTTTATAAATGGCTGCTTTGCTGTCTTTGTCAGCAGAGTGGTGGCATTCATCCCATTGCTAAGAATAAGAATAAGATGACCATCTGCATTTCTGTAGAGTGATGGCTACCCAGAGCGAGTTCAATAAAAGAAAATTATGGCTTTGTGCTTCGCTACAGCCGATAAATCACGAGCAGGTCTTACACTGAGGCAAAAAATGAAAAATAGCATTATGTGGCAAGACTTTATAGGGTACCAGCTGAGCAGCCACTTGAATTGTAATGCCCCCAAAATGAATGTCATGCAAGTGGTAATAATGACCTGTTCATGAGGAGCTGACCATGCTGGGTTGTTAGGGACACTGGTGGATATGTGTCAGGGGCCCCAGTGATTGTGTGAAACAGTGACAGCACATATATGCCAGCTATGGGGGTGTTTTCCATTTTATTCCTTCAGAATAAATCTCTTCAGTGCGAGTTCAGCATATCATTCCTCTCCCTTTCTGTGACCTGGGGTCTTCTGCTACAGCTTATTTATTCCTTTAGCCTAAAAGACTATGTCCTGGAAACTAAAACTGGTTAAAAGATGCCCTCAGGGACCTCTTGGAGGTGGTACAGATCTTCTTTTTAGGGTTTGAATACGTCTGGGGTTCTCCCATCAGATACATCACTGTAAAACCTCCAGCTGTCTTATTTGTCAAGTAATAAAAGCCTTTCTCATTGGTGGGGACTCTAAAATCAACTGAAACCTAAGCAGGAGTTTTTGATATCCCAGATCAATTTCTCCTAAAGGCAGTTGATTTTCTGGTCGTGTTTCCTCTTTCAGTTTACTTTGAAATCAGTAGTTAAGGTTCTAGTAGTTTCTCCCTAGTTTAGTTATCCTGAGTAGGGGAGTGCACTGTATGCGTGGCTTTGCAAATGAACAGAAATATGTGCTAAATGGGGATGGAGTAAATACTATAGAAAGCGTGTTTCTACATAGAGTTTTGACTGTTATCTCATAAATATTCTTTGGTGTCTACAATATAGTAAGGTGTTTTCAAGATAGTAGTAAACTAAATGACCATTTAAAGGTTATTTGTAGCCATTTACTTACAATAATAGGTAAACAACTGCTTAAAGACAAATTTTGATCTGAATTGTGTAGGAATGGCTTAAGGAGCCTCTGATCAAATCAGGTGTAATAGAGATCCTACTGTGGCTCCAGACATGCAGAACTGCACTTCCATCTATTTCTTTTTCAATTTTACAGTCTCTGCTTAAATACATGGTGATTGTCAGTCAAGAAATGCCTCCAGGTGGATTTTCCCAAAGGACACAGCATGATGTCAATGGGAACAGTGCTTTAGAAAACATCAGCTTGAACAAATATTGAAAAACATAATAATCACTAAAATTCAGTTATCTAGAACACTATTCCACGCGCTGTAGGGGAAAAGGAAGAAAAATTAGAAAATACGTTTTTGCATCTGAGATTATTTATCATTATTGCTAATTAATAAGCCTTTGGGCTGTATTTATTCTGTAAAGGCCCACTAGATGTCAGCACATATCTAGGCTAGCACAACTGGAGCAACAACCATCTGGTAGTAAAAAAACCCCTCTGCCCTGGAATGATGTATTTAGACAGCGCAGAGTCACCATCCCAAAGTGTTTTGTTTGACTTCATGAAGATTTCAGGTACCCCCACTGTAACAGTGACTGTTTTGGCCATCAAAACTGGGGGATTTTATGCACATTACTTTTTGTTCTTGTTTTACAAAACACTTTCATTACCATCTCCATTTGGTCCATTGTCTTTCAGTAGGCACTTCTCATATGAAAGTTTACCAGGCACTATATAGTGAGGATGGCTAATGCTTTGTTTTTATTTGAAGATTTAATGGCCAAACTTATTTGAAACATGAATATGAAATTTCTGTTTGAAATGGCAAAAAATCTGAATAAAACTTCAGACATATTATTCATAGCATTATATGATGTAAGACAAAACCCCACACCCCATGTGTATTACAAGTATATTCTACTCACCTGTATTTCATGTAAGAAATAATGGGAAAAAAATTCACTGTTATGCATTCAGGCTATTTAAAATGCATAGGCACAGTTCACTGCTTGTACTATTTTAAAGTGAGATCAAAACCCTCCTTGGTGAATTTTGCCACACAGTAGCAAGGATTAGTATTCAACCATATATATGTTCATATGCTGTGTATTCCTTACTTAATATTTGTCTAGATACAGTGTCAAAACAAAGAAGAATTTGGGTGATTTTGGCAGGTAATCCATTTTTCTTAACCATCCATACCTTCAGGAAAATTGTGTTTTGGAAAATATGACATATAAACTCAAAATTGTTGTTTGGG